GACAGAGACTGAACGGTGTGGGGGAGACAACTGCGGAGTGACGTGCAACACACCTGATGGGGCTAGATGCGAAGGAGGGGGGGCTATCGGGGCAATTGGGGGAAGGTCGATGGTGAGGAACAGCGGAGGGAGGGGGGGGGGGGGGGGGGGGGGGGGAGGTTTCAGAACCTCGGTGAGGGCGACTCCTGTGGTAAATGACTGACTTGTTGAAAGTGACGTCGTGGGAACTATAGAACTGCTAGGTAACCGGGTCGTAGAACAGCTAGCCTAGTTGTCGAGTGGAAAGCCAAGATAGACGCAGGCACAGGTGCGCAGAGACAACTATTTAGTGCCAGGGGCGCGAACGTGGGCCAAGGAATCCCAGACGCGATAGTCAGCTGCAACACCTGGAGAACCTGTCCAGCGAGAGACTGGCGTCACCCATGGCCTTGCGTCGCTAGGCCACAAGTTCAGCTGGTGCGCGGCGTAGCGGACTGCCTGAGGCCACAAGAACTGGGGGGCACCAGCATTGCACATGGAGGACTGGCCAACCTCCATGACCAGGCCGATGCGTCGCTCGGCTACCCCGTTCTGTTGCGGCGAATCTTGTAGCGTGTAATACTGGATGATTACTCGACCCTGACAGGACGTCTCCAAGCGAGTGGAAGAAAATTCACCACCACGGTCCGAGTGCAGGCGCAGCCCACAAAGGGCCTAGGCGTCACCCCTCGCTAGTAGCCACGGCTCGAGGGCGGTAAGCACGTCGGCCTTCCATCGCAAAGGCAAAACCGTGGTGTAGTGGAAGCAGTCGTCCACCACATCAGGAAGTAGCACTCCTGACGTGGGCCACGGACCGGGGAGGGGCCCCGGACGTCCAAGTGCAGGTCTGGAAGGGAGACGTGGTGGGGGGGAATGACGAGGAGTGAGGGGCAGCGCGCTGCGGACCCTCAACACAGGAAGTTCATGGCGGCGCAGGCGAGCGAGGAAGCGGTGCAAGTGACTCTGGGAGGCCTAAGACCTAACGGTGATGTACCATCCTACTAAGACGTGGGAATGACGGGTCACCTAGACGGTGGTGCCAAAGGACCAACGGGTGGGTGGGTGACCGACAGTCGCACGACACAGAAGCTACCTGACCTGATCCGATCCAGTGTGGCAGGACCCAGTATGTAATGAGTACATACCAGAGCCCAGCTTTCTGTGAAAAGTAGCCAGAGGCGCCCTAGAGGTACCGACTGTGGAGGAGGCTACAGGCTCGTTTAGAGGGAGAGTAATGACTATACCTAGGTCGTGGAGGTGATTGACACCCACTAGGTTCCTAGACAACGTGGGTGTGTAGTAACCTGCGAGAAACCCAGAAGGAGCCGTCGGACACAGGAGAGTTATGGTGTTGTGAGCTACGACAGGTCCCATTGTGGGGTCAGTGAAGGCGACAGTGACTGGAATGCGCAGTGGCATGAAGTCAGTACAATCGCGAAATAAGCAGCTCGTCGCTCCAGAGTCTAGGGAAAAGGCAAGTTGTGCAGTCGGTGAGGTCGCCCCCGAGCGATGGACAAAGGCTAGTATTAGACTAGTGGTAGCTGCAGCTCTCACCCTAAGAACCGCTGAGGCGCCTGGAGTGGAAACTATGACTGGAAACACAAGTCTCAACCCCAGGTGCAGCTCCCACGTACTGGTGTGTGTACTGGCCGAGTCCGACAAGGCCCGTGGTGGAGGCTGCCACTGGCTCTGCTGCTTAACCCACAGGTGCTGCCCTGCGCTGACCACTGCTGCTACTGTAGCAACTGATGCTGCGGCCACGGCTGTCGCGGCCACTGTTGTTGCTGCTGCCAATTGCTGCTGCTGCTGCCACTGTCGCCACATTGGAATGGCACGCTAGTATGGGGGTAGGGGTCAGTCGAGGCGGCGGTACTAGTGGTAGTTGTCAACGAGTGCGGTGGAGAATGGTCTGGGGAGTGATCTAGTGTGGTGAGAAGCAGACTAGGAGCGGTAAGGTGCGGTTGGGTACGGTCGGGTGTGGTCGGATACGGTCTAGCGAGGTGGGGAGCAGTCTAGCATAGTGAAGAATGGTTGGGTGGGGTTGAGAGTGGTTGGGAATGGTGTTGGTCAGTTGGATGGGGGTTGGAGTGGCCTGGTGCGGTGGAATGCAGCTGAGTGCGATTTTGGTAGGAGGGGTTCAGTGCGATCGGATGTGGTTGGGAGCGATGGAGGGCCGTTCAGGGCGGTTGGGAGTGGTGAAGAACGGTCTAAGGCGGTGGGGAAAACCGGGTGGGCTGTCAACGGGCGTAATGAGGGCACGGGCGGTTGCTGTTGATGCTAGCAGTTGCAGTGCTAGCTGCACAGAGTGTTAGCTAGCTGCAGGTGGCGCTTCTTGCAGTAGGCACTACCTGTTGCTACTGCTGGCGCTGCACTGCTGGAGGGTGCGCGAGCGAGGCGCGTACGGGCGGACGGGTGGGTGGATGCGTACGGGCGGGTATAGCTACTGAAGGGTGCTTACGAGAGGGCAGGTTCGGACGGACGGGTGCGAATGTGGAAGAGAGGGCTCGTAGGAACGGACGAATGGGAGTGTATGGGCGGGTGCGTATGAGTGGATGCGTTGTCCTAGCAGGTGTGTACATGCGGATGCGAACGGTCGGGCGGCTAACGACGAGTATGGCAGCTACGGCGACGGGTAAAGAGACGGGCTGCACGTGCGCACGACTGCTGCTGTGCGTGCGTGCTGCTTACGTGTACGCGACTAACGAAAGGGCCGCGAGGCCCGCTAACAAAGGGGCCGCGGGGCTTACTAACAAAGGGCCACAGGGCCCGCTAACGAACGCCCGCGAAGCGCACAGCAAAACTCACGGGCGATGGATGACAGAGGGAAAACGGGCGACGAGCGACGGAGGGGAAACGGGCGACGAGCGACGCAGGAGAAGGAAATGGGCGATGGGTTAAGACGAAACGCGCTACGGGCAACGGTCTAGGAGGAGGCGTGATTGGGTGGACCCATGACTTTCAAGGGAAATTCCTAGGGGAAACCTTTGCTAGGGTAAATCTAGCTATATACCATGTTGAAATACAATGAATTGTCTAGAATAGATAATGACAAGGAAGATATATGCAAACCCTAGCCAACCCTAAGCATGAACGTATACCACCTAGACTAATAAATAATAGCTATAACAAATATAGCTGGACAGTCTCGTCGTAGTCGGAGCCGTACACCTGCGTGAAGCACTTCACGACCAAGTGCGCCTTCATTACACAAGCCACCGTATCATCGATGTGGTACTTAGTCACCAGCACCCACCGGTTCTTCATCATATTCACACCACGATTGCTTTCAACGAGCTCCAACATGCGGTTGGTGACGAGGCTGCGGATCTCCTCTTCCATGGCGGCCTTCACCACCTTGTCCTGTCATCGTCGCGATATCTTCGTGATGCTCTAGGTCGGCGTGCATCTTAGGGTCGAGTTTGGACAGGTTGACGTCGGTCTTAGCGTCGTCGAGCAAAGTAGTGAAGGCCGTTGTCGGAAGACAGTCGTAGAAGCTCAGCCGTTCCAACAGGTTCCGAGTCTGACTTGAACGTTGTTGGTGTAAGCACAGTGTAGTCAAGGCCGCTGGCGGCAGACAGGCATGGAAGCTCCGCCGTTCCAATAGGTGTCGAGTCTGAAACGTTGTTGGTGTAAGGGCCTAATAAACTAAAGTTATAAAGATCTAATCAAATTCAATACCTCTCCTCGGGGTCACCTCCAAGGGTCCTTGGTTGCCTGGTACAAACCAGCCCCTATCCTTGGGTCCGAGCTTGTAGATAGAGGGACCAAGAATGACTTAGCCAAAATAACGAGAGTACCTTGTATGTCGCACAGCGTGCCGTCCAGACCGTCGATCGAATTAAGCTGGGAATTTGCTATATCGAAGCTCGCTCCAAGAGCTTTCAAATGAGCCAAGTTGCCTTGCAAAAAGTGTCAGACTTATATGACATATTTGCTGTAGGCTATAGTGGGGTAGCACATATGGGGTACAGGGTTTCTAGGGTTGTATTTGTACCCAATCTTTCCTTAGTCATTCTCATTCCTGTTCATTCTTTTCACATGGTATAGAGCGGGTCCCTCCTAAGGACCGTTTTTTTTTGAGGGCCCACCCACGATTATTTTTCCTGCCCGGAGCGCGCCCTATTCTCCCCGAGGCGCGCTCCCCCTAGTGCTTGTAGCGCTGCCCTTGTGGCGCCCCGAGAGTCGCGCGCGCGACTCCATTTTTTTCGCGCGCGCGGCCCGGGCCCCACGTCGCGCTGGCCTCACGGCCGCGCCGCGCCGCCCTCTCGGCTCTACCGCGCCGCGCCGCCCTCACGCCGGCCGCGCGGCCTCTTCGTCGCTGCAGCTGGCCCCGCCGTCCCCTGACACGGCCCTGCCGTCCCCTGTCACGGCCCCGCCGCTGCACCCTGACGGCCCCGCCACTGCACCAGTCGGCCCCGCCGCTGCACCCTGACGGCCCCGCCGTCCCCTGTCCCGGCCCCGCCGCTGCACCCTGCCGGCCCCGCCGCTGCACCCTGACGGCCCCGCCGCTGCACCCTGACGGCCCCGCCGTCCCCTGTCCCGGCCCCGCCGCTGCACCCTGCCGGCCCCGCCGCTGCACCCTGACGGCCCCGCCGCTGCACCTTGCCGGCCCCGCCGCTGCACCCTGACGGCCCCGCCGTCCCTTGTCCCGGCCCCGTCCTGCACCCGAGCCGCCCTGCCGCCGAGCCGCCCGGGAGCCGAGCCGCCCTGCACCCGAGCCGCCCTGCCGCCGAGCAGCCCGGGAGCCGAGCCGCCCTGCACCCGAGCCGCCCTGCCGCCGAGCAGCCCGGGCGCAGAGCCGCCCTGCACCCGAGCCGCCCTGCCGCCGAGCCGCCCGGGAGCCGAGCCGCCCAGCAGCCGAGTCGCTGAGTCGCCGAGCCGCCCTTCTGCAGAGTTTCCCGGCCTGCCCTGCCTGGTGAGCACAGTCGCACTGTCACTGCATGCTCTTCCCCTACTGCTTGCACTGCCTCGCTGTCGTCGTCATGGCTACCCCTAGTGTCCTAGCGTTTGACGCTGAGGGTCGCGCCATTGATTTTGAGGTCTGGTTAGACGACCTGCAGCTGTTCTTACAGTGCGACAGGGCTGACAGCCTTTCTCTCTTTGACCTCACCTCTGGCGCCTCTCCTGCTCCTGCTGCTGATGCTGATCCCACTGTCCGCTCTCAGTGGGCCACCCGCGATGCTGCTGCACGTCTTGCTGTGCGTCGCCACCTCCCTACCTCTGAGCGTGCGCACTTTAGTCAGTACAAGAGTGCTCAGACCTTGTACGACGCTGTAGTTGCGCGCTACTCTTCCCCTGCCACTGCTGCACTGAGCCGTCTCATGCTTCCCTACCTCTTTCCTGACCTCTCTGCCTTTCCCACTGTCGCTGACCTCATTACGCACCTCCGCACTAGCGACACTCGCTACCGCGCCGCCCTTCCTGCTGAGTTCTGCGCTAAGAACCCACCCCCCATGTACATCGCTCTCTACTACGTAGTTGCGCGCCTCCCTGACTCCCTTCGCGTCGTCAGGGACCACTTTCTCGCAGTCTGTCCCACCACCCTCACCGTCGACCTCCTCGAGAAGGCCCTCCTCGCAGCGGAGAAGAGCATAGTCCCTGTAGGTGCTTCTCGTGGTGACCCTCGCACCCCCATCTTTGAGGGGTGCTCTCCTTCCCCCTTGCTCCCTTCTGTTGCCTCTGCTGCTGCTGCCGACCTGCTTGGTCTTGAGTCGGTCGGCGCGGCATCTGCCCCCAGTGGGAGACGTCGCTCCAGCAAGGGCAAGGGGGACAAGGGTGCGGGTGGAGCTGGAGGGGGCGGTGGCGGTGGTGGCGGCGGAGGGAGTGGGGGTGGCGGCGGGACTAGTGGCGGGGGTGGTGGTGGTGGTGGCAGCAGCGGCGGAGACGGTGGTGGTGGTGCCAGCGGTGGTGGTGGAGGCAGCGGCGGAGGTGGAGGCGGCGGAGGTGGAGGCGGTGGAGGCGGCAGCGGAGGAGGCGGTGGTGGTGGAGGAGGTGGAGCTGGTCGGGGTGGTACCCAGCAGCGTAGCGGCGGTGGTAGTGGCCAGCGCTCGCAGCGGCAGCAGCAGCAGCGCTCGCGGGACATCCCTCCGCCTCAGCAGCTTTGTGAGTGGTACGCTGCGCGTCAGAGGGGTGGGGGTACTGGTCCCTGCACCTACGTTCTTCGTTCCGGCGACCGCGCGGGTGAGCATTGTGGGGGTGCCCACGCCGCCCAGCGCTGCTTTGGCCGCCTGACCGACGCTTGGCGTCAGCAGTTCCCTGGGGCTAGTGAGATCCCTCGCTGGGATGAGCTTCTTAGGGCTGGTGTAGCGATCTTTGATCTTGATTTTGATGCTATCCTTGCTGCTATGTATGCTGTGACTTATAGTGAGGAGAATGAGGGTTACCGGTGTTTCCAGCCCGACCCGGGCATTGATACTGCTGCGCTAGGTGCTTATGAGGCTGCTGCTCTGGGTGCCAGTGCCTCTGCGCTCTCAGGTACTGGTGAGACTGCGCTCTCAGGTACTGCGTCGTCCTCGTCCTCCCTCACTTTCACACTTGACTCCGGTGCTTCTCGCTCCTTCTTTCGAGACCGCACTACCCTTACGCCGCTCGGCCGGCCGGTTGCAGTCTCCCTTGCTGACCCCTCTGGGGTCCTGTCCTGTCTCACTTCTCCACTATCCTCCCGTGTCCGGCTGCCCCTTCAGGCACCCTGTCTGGTCTGTACCTTCCCTTGTTCTCTACGAACTTGGTGAGTGGCGCGGACCTGCAGGATGTGGGGGTTCACCAGTTCACTCCTGCGAGTCAGCGGGTGACCCACTGCACGGAGGCACGCACAGGCCGACACCTGGCCACGTTCTCGCGTCGGCCGGGGTCGAGTCTCTACACCCTTACCGTTGAGTCTCCTCCTGTCCCTGCGTCTGGTCAGGTGGCTGCGTCAGGTCAGGTGCTTGCTGCTGCGTCCCGGTCAGGTCCTGAGTCTGCCCCCTGTTCTTGTTGCCTCCTGTCTCACGAGACTCTCCTGTGGCACCACCGTCTTGGCCACCCCTCCTTGCCCCGTCTTCGGAGCATGGCTTCCCGTGTCCTTGTCTCTGGTCTTCCCCAGTCTCTCCCTCCTCTCCCCTCCGAGCCAGGACCTTCCTGTGTCCCCTGTGTTGAGGGTCGCCTCCGGGCTACTCCTCACTCCTCCCACTTCCCCCCGACAGAGGCTCCTCTGCAGACGCTTCACATGGATGTGTGGGGCCCAGCCCCCGTCCGTGGGCAGGGTCACGAGCGCTACTTCCTGTTGGTGGTTGACGACTACTCGCGTTACACCACAGTCCTCCCCTTGCGTAGCAAGGGTGCGGTCACTGAGGTGCTGATCGACTGGATCCGCGAGGCTCGTCTCCAGCTCAGGAAGAGCTTCGGCTCGGACTTTCCTGTTCTGCGTCTGCACTCGGACAGAGGCGGAGAGTTCTCTTCTCGCCTTCTGCGAGACTACTGTCGTGCACGGGGGATCTGCCAGACCTTCACGCTTCCGGACTCACCACAGCAAAATGGGATTGCTGAGCGCCGCATTGGCATGGTCATGGATGTCGCTCGTACGTCCATGATACATGCGGCTGCCCCCCATTTTCTGTGGCCGTTTGCGGTGAGGTACGCGGCGCATCAGCTCAACCTTCACCCCCGGGTCTCTCGGCCTGCGATGTCCCGAGCCTTGCTGTGGACGGGGAAGGTTGGCGATGCGTCTGTGTTCCGTGTCTGGGGATCTCGGGCGTTTGTCCGCGACTTGTCTGCGGACAAGCTGTCCCCTCGTGCTACTCCCTGTGTCTTCCTTGGCTTCCCCACTGACGCCCCAGGGTGGCAGTTTTACCACCCCTCCTCTCGTCGTGTTCTGTCCTCCCAGGACGTCACGTTCGACAAGTCAGTCCCCTTCTACCGTCTCTTCCCCTACCGCACTCCTTCCCTCCCCCCTCCCCCGGACTTCCTTGTGCCGGTTCCCCCCCCGGTAGACCCCCTCCCCCCTCAGGTTCCTGCCCCCTCAGGTGTGTCCCAGGTAGACGCCGCTGACCCGGTCGAGGTTACTGGTGACTCTGGTGCTGCTGCGGGTGCTGAGCCTGGGGGTGCTGACTCTGGGGGTGCTGTGCGCGGGGGTGCTGAGCCTGGGGGTGCTACTGCTGGGGGTGCTGGGCCTGAGGGTGCTACTGCGGAAGGTGCGGAGCCTGGGGGTGCTGAGCCGGGGGGTGCTGTGCCTGGAGGTGCTGGGTCTGGGGGTGCTGGGTCGCGAGCTGCTGAGCCTGGGGGTGCTGAGCTGAGAGCTGCTGAGCCAAGGGGTGCTGCGTCTGGAGCTGCTGAGCCTGGGGTTTCTCCTGCTGCTGCGTCTCGCCGGGAGCCCCTCTCTCCACAGGAGCTGCGCGAGTGGTTCGCTCGCCGCTGGAGGCGTGCTGCTGAGTCTGGAGGTGCAGCTGGAGCTGGAGCTGGAGCTTCTTCGACCGTCGAGGGTGCGGGTGCTGCTGGTCCCGGAGCTGCTGGACCTACTGGTCCTCCTGGAGCTGGAGCTGCTGAGGGCGTTGGTGCTGAGCCTACTGCTGTTGGTCCTGCCGCTGGAGGTGTGGGTGGCGCTGGTGCTGTCGCTGAGGGTGCTGGTGCTGTCCCTGCTGAGTCTCGAGCTGCCGCGCAGCCTCGGCCGTACTTCGTTCCGCTCCTGCAGCAGGTCCTTGGTCTTTCTCCTCCAGTAGAGGGTCCACCGCCTGTCCAGTCGCAGTCCCTGCTGGAGCCTTCCTCTCCACTGCCTGCTCCCTCTCCTTACACTGGTCCTACTGGAGGTCTTGCTGAGCGTCGTGAGCCTGCGTCTCGTCCCGCGTCGCCTGTTTGTGCTGCTCGCGCTAGTGGTCGCAGCTCGCGTCAGCGTCCTCCTCCTGTCCCTGGCACGCACCGGATGTCTTTGCGTCCGTCCACTGCTCCTCTGCGTGCCCCTTTGCCTTCTCCTCCTGAGTCTTCTCTTCCTGCGCTTGCCGACCCTGAGTCGGACTCTCTTCGTGCTGCCAGTCCTACTGTTATGCGTCTGCTTGCTACTGTTGTCACTGACCCCTCTTTTGATTCCACTGCTGCGTCTGCTCTAGTCGCAGAGCTCGTCGACTTTGCTGCTCGCTGTCGCCTCGACTACGCTGCTAGTCTTGTTGCTGAGTCTGCGTCTGTCTGTCCTCCGTCCGTCGGGGGTGAGTGTGCTCTTGGCACGGACGTCCTAGAGGACAGGCAGGAGGAGTTACAGTGTCTAGCGGCTGCTTCACCTCATCTCGCGGCTGTACTTCTTGCCCCTGAGGGAGACCCGGATGCACTAGACATCCCGACTCCGCGTTCTTACGCGGAGGCCGTAGAGGGTCCCTACTCCTCTCAGTGGCAGGCAGCTATGGATACAGAGATGGCTTCCTGGAAGTCCACAGGCACCTACGTTGACGCGGTTCCCCCTCCTGGGGCGAACATCGTCAGTGGCATGTGGATCTTCAGGGTGAAGCGGCCGCCGGGCTCTCCACCTGTCTTCAAGGCACGGTACGTCGCTCGTGGCTTCAGTCAGCGGCAAGGAGTTGACTTCTTTCAGACCTTCTCTCCCACCCCGAAGATGACTACTCTTCGGGTGCTGCTGCACATAGCCGCTCAGTGCGACTACGAGCTTCACTCTCTCGACTTCAGCACTGCGTTCTTGCAGGGTAGCCTGCACGAGGAGATCTGGCTTCGCCGTCCACCTGTCTTCACTGGGACTTTCCCTCCTGGCACCCAGTGGAGCCTTCGACGGCCAGTCTACGGTCTCCGCCAGGCACCGCGTGAGTGGCACGACACACTGAGGACTACGCTTGCGGCCCTTGGGTTTGCTCCTTCTACTGCTGACCCGTCGCTGTTTCTTCGCACCGACACTTCCCTGCCGCCGTTCTACATCCTCGTGTACGTCGACGACTTGGTCTTTGCCACAGCGGACACTGCTGGACTCGCCTACGTAAAGTCCGAGCTGCTGAAGAGACACACGTGCACAGACCTGGGTGAACTGCGCAGCTACCTTGGCTTGCAGATCACTCGGGACAGAGCACGCCGCACCATTACCTTGACTCAGTCACACATGGTGCAGCAGGTCCTTCAGCGCTTCGGCTTCACGTACTCCTCGCCTCAGGCCACTCCTCTGCCTACTCGCCACTCACTCTCAGCTCTGCCTTCGGATGAGTCCGTAGAGTCGAGTGGTCCGTATGCAGAGCTTGTTGGCTGCCTCATGTACCTGATGACCTGCACACGACCTGACCTTGCATACCCTCTGAGCATTCTTGCACGCTATGTTGCTCCTGGGAGACACAGACCAGAGCACATGGCTGCAGCGAAGAGGGTATTGCGCTACCTGTGCAGTACGTCGGGCATGGGGCTAGTGCTTGGAGGGCGGAGTCCAGTGGTCCTTACCGGCCACGCGGACGCTTCTTGGGCTGACGACCAGGCTACGCAGCGGTCGTCACAGGGTTACACCTTCAGCCTTGGTTCCGGGTCTGTCTCGTGGCGGTCTACTCGCTCGTCTTCAGTTCTCGGCTCCAGTTGTGAGGCTGAGATCTACGCCGGGGCCATGGCTGCACAGGAGCTTCGCTGGCTCACCTACCTGCTGACTGACCTTGGAGAGCCGCCTAGTTCTCCTCCAGTGCTGTACGTAGACAACAAGGCCATGCTGGCCTTGTGTCGAGAGCAGCGTTTGGAGCACAGAACGAAGCACATTGCTCTCCGCTACTTCCTTGCTCGTGAGCTGCAGCAGCGTGGTCAGTTGCGACTTGCGTACGTGGCCTCTGAGGCCAACACTGCTGATGTGTTCACCAAGGCACTCGCGCCTTGTGACCATCAGCGCTTTTGCACCCAGCTGGGTCTTGTGCCTGTCTTGCCTCACTTGCTCTCCTCTTGACTTTACTTGTACTGTGACATATATATACCTGCTCTTGCTTGACTAGTTTTATATATATATATGTCTGTACTCCTGCATGTGAACTGGCCTCTGGCCCTGCTCTTGTGCTCGGACTGTGTGGTGACTTTGTGATCCACTCTGAGCTTGCTCTGCTTTGCTTTACTTGACTGGTCTTGTGACCCCTTGTTCTCCCCCACTTTGCCTATGGGGGTGTGTCAAATTTATATGACATATTTGTTGTAGGCTATAGTGGGGTAGCACATATGGGGTACAGGGTTTCTAGGGTTGTATTTGTACCCAATCTTTCCTTAGTCATTCTCATTCCTGTTCATTCTTTTCACAAAAAGTTCTGTAATTGCATAAGTAATGGCTCGTACAGCGTTGAACTAGCATCATAGTGCTAGCATACTAGCGTTGACTCGGTAGCATTCCGCTGTCCGTTCGCATAGAAACAAAATTCTTGAGAGGAAGGAATTTTCATAAATCAAATCGACGCTATCCTGGTACAAACGAAGAAGGAAAAAATAGTTATAGCTGGAAAGAACCTTGGGAATCAACCTGGGAACAACTAGAGATGATCCCAAATAATTCCAAGCAACGGAACCAACCTGGTTGGACAAAATTGTAGGTGGTAGGTTGGTAAACAACCTCTGGTTCTGTTTTTCCAACCTGGAAAAACAACAACCAGGCTCAGGTCCTAAAAACAAAACCTGTTTTGTCCTTGCCCAATTCTGGTTCTGCTTGTTTCCCCTGGCCCTGTAGCATGTAGATAGATTTATACAGAAAACATCCAACATTCACATAAACTGTAGTGCTTGCCTTGCTACACTATAGTCAACCAAACAAAACAGTACAACTTCAAGTTGGATAGAACTGAAGCTGCGCAATTAATTGAACCGAACCGCAAAGCTTCCATCTTGGGTTCCTTTGTGAGCTCGTCCTTTCTGCTTGCACTGTTCATAGCGCATAAAACATTGTGCCAGAGCGCGAAGGGCCACAAGGTCAGTCCACAGGCAGAGGTATATATGCAATAACAACAGCAGAGTGATCTCCACCTAGCAGAGCAAACATGCGGGTATATATATAGATCACAGTACAAGCAAAGTCTACAGCAAGTGAGGAAAAATGGGCACAAGGCCTAATAAAGTGCAGAAATGCTAATGATCACCAGACAGAAGTGCCTTGGTGACTATATTAGCAGTGTTGGCCTGAGTGGCCATGTGAGCAAGACAAAGCTGACAATGCAGCTGCAACTCTCGAGCCAGGAAGTAACGCAGAGCGATGTGCTTCTGTCTGTGCTCCAGTCTATGCTCCTCACACAAGGCAATGGCGGTCTTGTTATCGACGTACAGCACTGGAGGAGAACGAGGCCGCTCTCCCACGTTGGTCAGCAGGTAGGTGAGCCAGCGTAACTCCTGTGCAGCCATGGCTGTGGCGTGGATCTCAGCATCACAACTGGAGCTGAGAACTGAAGACGAGCGTGTAGAACGCAAGGAAACTGAACCAAAGCTAAGGCTGAAGGTGAAACCCTGTTTCGACCGCTGCGTAGCCTGGATGTCAACCCAAGAAGCGTCTGAGTGCCTAGTGAGGACAACGTTGCTCCATCCTCCAAGCACGAGTCCTATGCCCGATGTACTGCACAAGTAGCGTAGTACCCTCTTAGCAGCATCCATGTGCACCTTTCGGTGCCAACCAGGAGCCACATAGCGAGCCAGAAGGCCAAGAGGGTACGCAAGGTGACGATGAGTGCAGGTCATCAGGTACATGGGCAGCCCACTTGCTCTGGGTGAGAAGCTCTGGGCAAGGACCACTTGGCTCTACGGACTCGTCCAAAGGTGGAGCTGAGAGCGAGTGACCTGTAGCCAGAGTAGTAGCCTGTGCCGAGGACCAGGTGAAGCCGAAGCGCTGAAGGACTTGCTGCACCATGTGTGACTGAGTTTGTGTGATGGTGCGGCGTGCTCTGTCCCGAGTGATCTGCAAGCCAAGGTAACTGCGCAGCTCACCCAGGTCTGTGTACGTGTCTCTCTTTTGTAGCTCCGACTTTACCAGGGCAAGAGCCTCAGTATCAGCAGTGGCTAAGACCAAGTCGTCAACGTACACGAGGATGTAGAACGGCGGCAGCGAAGTGTCGGTGCGCAAAAACAGCGACGGGTCAGCAGTAGACGGAGCAAACCCAAGAGCAGTAAGTATCGTCCTTAGTGTGTCGTGCAACTCAAGTGGCGCCTGGCGGAGACCGTAGACCGGCCGCGGAAGGCTCCATTGGGTACCAGGAGGGAACGGCCCAGTCCAGCCAGGAGGGCGGCTCAGCGAGATCTCCTCGTGCAGACTGTCCTATAAGAAAGCTGTGTTGAAGTCAAGAGAGTGAATCTCGTAGTCACGCTGAGCGGCAACGTGCAGCAGTATCCAAAGAGTGGTCATCTTTGGGGTGGGGGAGAAGGTCTGGAAGAAGTCAACTCCCTCTTGCTAACTGAAGCCTCAAGCAACGTAACGAGCCTTGAAGACAGGCGGAGAACCTGGCGGCTGCTTCACCCTAAAAATCCACATTCCACTGACGATGTTCGCCCCACGAGGGGGAACCTCGTCAACGTAAGTGCCTGTGGACTTCCAAGATGCCATCTCTACATCCATGGCTGTCTGCCACTGAGAGGAGTACTCACCCGCGATCGCCTCAGCGTAAGAGCGCGGGGTCGGGATGTCTGGAGCATCTGGGTCTCCCTCAGGGGCAAGCAGAATGGACACGAGATGAGACGCACCGGCTGCAAGACACTCAAGGTCCTCGTCCGTGTCGTCTAGGACGTCCGTGCCAAGAGCACACTCACCCCGGAGGGATGGAGGACAGACAGACTCAGACTCAACAACAAGACTAACGGCGTAGTCTAGACGACAGGCAGCAGCAAAGTCAACAAGCTCAATGACTAAGATAGACGCAGCTGGAGACTCAAACGACGGGTCAGTGACAACTGTGGCTAGCAGACGCATGACAGTTCGGTGCGCAGCACGGGTGCGGTCAGAGTCAGGCTCAAGAACGGTAGGCAGAGAATACGTAGGAGGGGACAGCAGGGGAACACGCTACGGAGGAGAGGAAGGACGACAGACTACGAGGTGGGTGCCGGGGACAGCCGGCTGACGCAAACGAGGAACACAATGACCTGAACGGCCTGAACGGACAGGCGAGATAGGACGCGACGCAGGCTCACGACTCTCAATAAGACCCCCTGTCTGCTCAGTGTAAGGAGAAGGAGCAGGCAGCGGTGAGCCATGCTGTAATGGAAGACCAGTAGACAAAGGTAGACTAAGAACCTGGCGAAGCACAGAGTCAGACGGTGGATGATACAACGGAGACGGTGGAGCAAGGAACAGGTGCGGCTGTGCAGTGCCACCAGCACCAGCAACTCCACTACCCCTAGCAGCTCCAGCACCTCCAGCAGCTCCAGAACCCTCAGCGCCAGCTCCTCCAAGACCAGCTCCACCAGCAGCAGTACCCCTAGAACCGGCACCTTCAGTCCCAGGGTCTCCAGCCTCAGTGTCTCCATCAGCAGCATCCCCAGACCCAGAGTCTCCGGCAGTAGCACCCTTAGGCTGAGCAGCACCTCCAGCGGCAGAGCCCCGAGGTCCAGAAGCACGACCCTGACGCCGACCATACCAGTCGTGCAGCTGCTGTGAGGTGAGAGGCACACGCGGACAAAGGCAGCTACTCCAAGGAGACCGCTCAACTGCAGACTTAGAACCCTCAGCGCCAGCATCCGCAGCAGCTCCAGAACATCCAGCGCCAGCATCCACAGCAGCTCTAGAACCTCCAGGGCCAGCATAGTCAGCAGCTCCAAGCCTCCAGCTCCAGCGCCACCAGTGCCAGCACCTCCAACAGCTCCAGAACCTCCAGCTCCAGCACCCTCAGCAGCTCCAGAACCTCCAACTCCAGCGCCACCAGTGCCAGCACCTCCAGCAGCTCTAGAACCTCCAGCGCCAGCACCCTTAGTAGCTCTAGAAGCTCCAGTAGAAACAGCTCCAGTAGTCGAATCACCAGCTCCAGTGCCTCATGCAGCAGGGCCCCTAGCTCCAGCAACGCGACCCTGATGGCCAACGTACCACTCACGCAGCTGCAGTAGGGAGAGAGGGAGCCGACGACGAGAGTGCAGCGGCGGGGCATAAGTGGAGCGTCTACGAAGACGGCTGCTCCGGGGAGACTGCTCATCAGACGCCTCAGCGCCCCCAGGTGCAACACCCCCAGGCTCTGTAACCCCAGTCTCAGCACCCCCAGACTCCTCACGCTCACGCTCAGCACCTCCCGCCTCCGCACCCCCACGGTCCGCACCCCCATACTCAGCACCCCCAGAAGCAGGACCACCCTCAGCAGGACCTGAGTCACCAGTGACCTCAACCAGTGCACTCAAGGAAAAGGGGTCTACTTAAGGCACACCTTAAGGAGCAGGACCGGGTGCGGGGAGGGGATCTACATAGGGAGCACCAAGAGTGAGGAAGAGCGGCGGGGGGGGAAGAGGGGCAATGCGGTAGGGGAAGAAACGGTAAAAAGGAACCGACTCATCAAACGTGACGTCCAGAGAGGGGAAGACATGGCGCGAGGTAGGGTGATAAAACTGCCAACCAGGCGCGTCACGGACAAAGCCAAGGAAGACACAGGGAACAGCACGGGCAGAGAGCTTGTCCGCGGTGGTATCGGCGACAAAGGCACGAGAACCCGAGACCCGGAACTCCGACGCATCGCCAACCTCCCCCGTCCACCGCAGTGTGGGAGAGGTCTCCGGCAAGGAGACACGGGGCCAGAGGTTGAGCTGATGCGCAGCGTAGCGAACCGCAAACGGCCACAGATAATGGGGGGCAGCCGCATGGATCATGGAGGTACGAGCGACCTCCATGACCAAGCCAATGCAGCGCTCAGCAACCCTATTCTGCTGTGGAGATTCCGGAAGCGTGAACATTTGGCGAATGCCCTCCCCACGACAAAAGCTCTGCAGTAGGTTAGAGGCAAACTCCTTACCTTT